CTATTAGTAAAATTGGCTCTCGTCTGTTCTTGGTTATTTGTGTCGGTGTATGTCGCCTATATTCAATAAAAATAGACGACTTCTTCAGCCAAACCTCCAAATTTGTCTGTTTTGGCAATGACAGGATTATTCCGAGCATGACCATCTTGTTTCGATGAACCCTAGCACTCAGACTCTTGTTCCTACAACTTGAAAACGTGATGGAGAGCCACGCTAAGTTCTCGCATTCATACTAATGCTTGGACAAACTTTTTCTTATGGTTGTAGAGTGGCGCGTGATTCGTTGAGCTCGGAATTGATCAGCCCTCCCGAAAACCCCACTCCCCGAATTTCATACTCGAGTACATGGGCATTTAAGTGTATGTCTAATTGAGCGTTCAGATTTGTAGCGTAACCATTGCTACCAGACTCCAGCTTTCTTTGTGTTTTTCTTTCTAATACAATCCCTTTCCTTTGTTTCGCATTTTTATCTGATCTTGAGCTCCTCTTTTTTACTTTATCACTGAATATTGATGTGGTTTTTCATACAGAACACTGTGGTAATCCTTTATGTCAGTGAACAGTAACTTTGTTGTCGGTTTTAATGTTTGTAGTATGATAAGATATTAGAAATATGTATTTATTGCCTATGTTGTCTGTGTAGTCCGAAATATTGGGTTGGCACATAAGTACTTTCGTTTTTTTTCAACCGGAAATTTCGTTCCAAAGATGAAATGTTTTGCTAGCAAGCTTGATATCATCTGATAGGAAACTTCACGTAGTTTTAGAATATCAAAACGGCTTCGGTTGAGGGAATAATTTTTGTGGATTTTTTAGTCGTTGAAGTTGAAAGCGAAGTCGGCGAAAATTAGCACCTTCGACAACTGCCTCTATTTACGTATAGTCGAAGTGCTAAAATCGCTTAAGCTGCTCCATACATTTGGAAAAGGTCGAGCTAGAAGTTCCAGCAAGGGAATCTCACTAGGACGCTTTGGAACGAATTTCAAGAATTTTGAAGTTACCAACCTTCACCTCGCCGATATTGGGCAGCTCACGTCTGTTCCACCTGAAATTTTATGCTAATATTTGAATGTTTCGCTGATATGTTTTGCATGTTCTGATAGCAAATTTCGTGCTCTATAACACTGCTATAAATCTGTTCTCCAGAGGTGTTTGCTTTCTGTTAAGTTCAGGTTATTATAACGGAACGCGAAGTCGTTGAGAACTAGGGTTCCCGTTCTCCACGAATTTTATGCTAACATTTGAATGTTTCGCTAATGTGTTCTATATGTTCTGATAGCCAATTTCGTGCTCTATAACACATGCGTTGCAGTTATTTTGAAAATCCGTTTGATGAACCTTGTTTTTCAGGTGGATAATATGGAATGTCAGGTCGATAAGCATCAGCACTTCAGACATCTCCTCCTTTTCGCATTCAACAGAGGTATCAGAGCTGCTGATGCTGCTCGGGAAATTCGCTAAGAGCTGTCCTAACACTAATCTGTGTCCCGACTTCCTCTCTCAACCGCTGTCCACTGAAGCTTCAAAGCTCCTAGAGCAGCTCAATAGAATCGCCATGGTTTGAGTAAGGCTTAGAGTAACAGATTAGTGTTAGGACAGCTCTTAGCGAATTTCCCGAGCAGCATCAGCAGCTCTGATACCTCTGTTGAATGCGAAAAGGAGATGTCTGAAGTGCTGATGCTTATCGACCTGACATTCCATATTATCCACCTGAAAAACAAGTTCATCAAACGGATTTTTAAAATAACTGCAACGCAGTGTTATAGAGCACGAAATTGGCTATCAGAACATATAGAACACATTAGCGAAACATTCAAATGTTAGCATAAAATTCGTGGAGAACGGGAACCCTAGTTCTCAACGACTTCGCGTTCCGTAATGATAACCTGAACTTAACAGAAAGCAAACCTCTGGAGAACAGATTTTAACAGCAGTGTTATAGAGCACGAAATTTGCTATCAGAACATGCAAAACATATCAGCGAAACATTCAAATATTAGCATAAAATTTCAGGTGGAACAGACGTGAGCTGCCCAATATCGGCGAGGTGAAGGTTGGTAACTTCAAAATTCTTGAAATTCGTTCCAAAGCGTCCTAGTGAGATTCCCTTGCTGAAACTTCTAGCTCGACCTTTTCCAAATGTATGGAGCAGCTTAAGCGATTTTAGCACTTCGACTATACGTAAATAGAGGCAGTTGTCGAAGGTGCTAATTTTCGCCGACTTCGCTTTCAACTTCAACGACTAAAAATCCACAAAAATTATTCCCTCAACCGAAGCCGTTTTGATATTCTAAAACTACGTGAAGTTTCCTATCAGATGATATCAAGCTTGCTAGCAAAACATTTCATCTTTGGAACGAAATTTCCGGTTGAAAAAAAACGAAAGTACTTATGTGCCAACCCAATACTTCACGGGTTCGAGTTCGCTGGAGGCGAAAACGACCGCTAGGCAAACCGGTAACCGACTGGGAGGATGTAGCAGTCCAATGATTTGATTGTGATAACAGCCTCCGCTATATAAGACAACCATTCGGTACACTCCGAGCCATTGCACGAGCTGCTGGCGTGGCAGCTGGACGTGTGCTCGTGCGGGGGCAGGGTGGGGGTACCGGGTCGCCCTGCCTCCCTCTCCTGCACGTGCTCAGCCGGAGCTGAGCACGTGTATGGGAGGGAGGCAGAGGGGAGGGTCGCGGGGAGGGGGTACAGTGAGGGGTGCGTAGCGCGCGTTTCAGTAGAAACGCGCACCAAGGGATGAGGAAACAGCCGCGCTAAAAACTGTAAGTCAATCTATGTTACCGTAACGAACTAAGAAGTTGTTTTGGTTGTGATAACACTCTCCACTATATAAGAAAACCACTACACTCCGAGCCATTGTACGGGTTGCTCGCGTGGCAGTTGGACGTAAGCGCGGCAAGGGGCAAGGTGGGGTGGGGGGGGGGTGGAGTGGCGAGTACGGAATGGGGTGAGGTGAGGAAGGTGGGAGTTAGTATCGAGTGACCCCCTTCTCCCATCCTCACTCCCTTGCGCGTACTCAGTCGGATCTGAGCCCATGCAGGGGAAGGAGGCATATGGATTGAATCGGGCAAACTGGGGCCAACCACTGTGATATACTCTGTGCTACTGCAGGAGCTGCTCGCTTGGGAGCTGGACGTGAGCACGAGCAAGGCGGTGGTAAGAACAGTGGCGGAGTAGTGTCCCTATGTTGCATGGCGGCGATACCCGTGCGGGGGTGAGGTGCCGGTTAAATAGGGTCAGTGGGATATGATGTGGTGAGGGGAAGATGAGAACGGCGATTTCGCGATTAGGAGCACATAGCCCCTGCGGCGGTAAGGCGTCTACGGGTTGCGACAAGATGGGGAGAAAATGGATCGACCGCAATCGGAACTGAACCGATTAATGTTGCATTATCAAATTGTGGTAGCGTTTTGATAGTCATAACACCCTCCACAACATAACACAACCATTTAGTGCACTCAGAACCATTGCACGGGCTATTCGCGTAGCAGCTGAGTGTGACCTGTAGGGTGGCTGAGCGGGGAATAGCTGAGGTTAGTTTGGGGATAGGTGAGGTGAAGGGGTACCATATTGGCGCGACCGACGCTCGCCTGAACAGGAGCACGCAGCGACTGCGGAGACCGAAGAATCCGTGGCTGTCATAAGATGGGGAGACAGTAATCGATTATCCATGACCAGATTTCAAACCTTTCATTATAAAAGTGCCCTGCGACTATATGGCGCGTTCCTACATTTATTTGATTAGAAGACACCGGTTAGGCACCATGAGAGCATCATAAATGCCTAAGACAGTAGTATCGCCCTGCTTATGCCTTACTTTGTTCCTTTCTTTCACGAGTTAAGAAGTGAGGTCCTTAAAGCAGTTGGCTCGAGCGGCGAAGCGGGCTTCAAGAAGGAGAGATAGCCTACAGGCGGTTTAGCGGGCGATCCCACTGCGTGATTTTATAAATCCGTTTAGACATTAATTGTCCTGAGCAAGGCCTGATTGATGTTTGATCTCATGATTAGCGCATCATGTTTGATCCGATGCCGAAATTGTTTCCGTAATCTATATTGTTAAGATTGACTGGTCAATTCAGTGTCAAATAAACAAGAGGAGCTCAAGGATGGATAAAAATGAGAAAAGAAGAAGAAGGAATAGAGTCTCGATACAATTGTAAAGTTGAACGCTGCCTCAACGGGATATGCTGGTAGCTCAGAGCACTTCAAGAATGATTCAGTGAAAGGAGTCTGATCTTTCCAGCATGATATGCGTTGGCGGAGGGCTCTCAGGCTTATTTAGCATTTTCTCTATCGATGCGTAGGACTATGTTGCCAAAAAGAAAACTGAGTATTTCGAGATTTTCTTTTACCGAGAAGGCAGCTGTTATGATCCTCATTCTGTTTCATAGTGGCAAATGAACGTCCATTGACAAGTTCGAACAATCTTGATAGTTATCCATATTTATTTATACATGAAAGTTGAGCAAGCCTGCATATACCACTGTACAGAGTTAAAATATAGCAGAAACGGCGGACACTTCGAAATTCCCTCTTCCCTTCCAAAGGTTGCGGAGTGCAGTTTGAAATTCCTTTTCGGTGAAAATAATAATGTACCTGAAGAACTGCCCGATTTCGTCGACGATGATTTATAGCTAGCGGCAACTCAAAATCGTATTGGAGTTGGTTATGATCTCGATTGAGACAAAACTTGAGCGTTTACATCACAGAGCGCTTTCGGTGGTGTCTGGAACAGTCTAGACACCACTGGAACTGAGAGGGTAGGGGAGAAATTTCCTTGAAGATGCCCCCTGTGGTGTGCAGAGTGTGGAATAAAACGGAAGGGCTCCTTATCAAATGGCACAAGAAATGCGGCAATGTTTCTAACGGGGTGGGTTTCGGGAATGGAATACGGATGATTCCGCGCTAAGATGGGCGAGACTCATGTCAGTGTGACTTCTAGATTTTCTTTTTGGCTCGACATCGCTTTTATCATCGCTCGTGGATCAGGTCACTCCTGTTTTCGTCCGTCCTTCTTCTACTGTATGTATCACTTGCGAACCCTTCACAACTTTCTGGAAAAAAATTTTCTCGAACATTCTTTTAATTATCCTAACCTCCCTCTTAATCTCTTACGTAGAAGAGACCATGCGGGGGTTTTCAGTACTCACGGCCATGTTTACCGCAGTTGTTTGTAATAAAAAACCGTAAACCCCTGTCGATGAGCAGCTTCCTATGGAGGGTCTTGAAGAAGTGACGATTACGGCGATGATTCAGAGACCATGTCCCAATCTATAAAGTGGTAAAGGTGTCACTGTATTAGAAAGTCTTACGGTGCTGATGCAAGATACAGTTGCCACGCCACTACCGTGAGGATAAACTGTATCGTAATTCCCTCGAAACAGCCAGCTACATGGAATGATACCAACATTAGTACGTAGAGAATCGAATTTGTTGTTGTCTGAAACAGTGTCTGTCAAGAGAGCTTCTTTAATTTTCATAGTCTCAGACTGAAAAACTTTAGAAATAACCCGTAATCAATACCTGAAGAAACCATGACCTTTCCTTCTTTGATCGGCCAGGGGAGTAAACTGTTTTCTGAATATATCGGCACAGTCAAATGCATTGGAATTGGTTTTTAGAATGTTTGGTTCAACACGAACCCCTCTGTAGTGGCTTAGTTTAAGTAAACAGTAGACGTCGACAAGCGTAGTAATGACTGCCTATTGTGAGGTTGTAAATCAGATCTTGATAAAGTGAAAGTGTGCGTCCGCATTCTTCCATCACTGAACTTGAATTGGCGTATTTGTGCATCGAAGGTGAAGTTGCAACCTTCTGAAAAAGATAAATTGACATTGCGGGACCTGAGCTGGTTGGGATTCCAGCTACTCCAGAGAAGCTAATTCCATAACGGAAAAAAACAGGGTGGAGTGGGTGGCAGGGCAAAAAAGCGCTCCCGTTCCCAGTGCGAATTTCTAAGAGTTTATCTGGAAATGGATGGATCTCTGACAGTCGCGCTGTTACATCTCTTGTCTCAGGTTACTAGAAAGCGTCGTTGTAACTGTGGAACACGAGCTGTTTCGAGCGACGTGGCATGTGGTTCTCGATTTTAGCATCTTCAACCAGACGAGGGCAGTGAACTTAGCGCATTCTGGGGTCTTTGAGCACGTTTGGCTCGAAGAGCCAGAAGATTCAATTCATGGGCCGGGAACAGCATTTTGGTGACTTGTTCGAGGCGTGGTACTGCTCAGCACTCAAGAACGTTTCTTTTACGGTACTCTAGTAGTCTCGTAAGCGGGTGATCTCCTTTTAGTGGCCCCCTCACAAGTAGACGTGTCTTTCCAATAGTGAGCCGGATTTCAAAAGCACAAGTCCTTTAAATCCTAATAAAACTTATCAAGTCACCTGAGCAGAGTCAATCTCCACTTGTTTTACATCAATTATTTTTGAGCTATACCTATATGTACCTAGAATCGAGTAACTCAGAGTATCGGGGCGCTTCTTGAGAAGGCAAACAAGAGTTCCTCAGATGCAAGAAGGTCGGTCCTGTTGCGCGGCGGATGGGTGGAATAGAGTCAAACCGCACAAAGATTCGTTTGTAATTTGCCGAACACTGCGGTGTAAAGGTAGACGCCATGCTTTTTCCTGACTCTCCATGATGGATGGACCACTCATCTCGTCACCCTGTTGAAACTGCTCCTTGATACGTAAGCTATGCGAGTTTAATTGTGCCTGGGCAATAATCCCTCCCAATGCAACTTGCTTGCATCCAACTGTTATGAAAACGACTAACCCTTCAAATGGATAGTATTATGAACCCATGCGATCACCCAGCACGCTGTGATCGAGACCATTGTCGTTTTGGTGTTGAACCATTTATTGTAATGACGAGGGAAGGTGACAACGATGAATCGATTGACAGTCATCGCTACCGACGTATAGATACTCGAATATTGCAGTGACAAAGCCAAGTAACCGACAATGTGTTCGTTGTCCTCATGTAGCCAACGGACCATCTGGAAACACATGTACATTGAACTATGATTTTATTTACTAAATTACACTGGCAATGAGTTACTGGGACGCTGCACTATCAGGGTTCCTGATAAGGATGTTGCTTCACTGAACAGGATATCTACCAAGATTATGCACGCATATCTGTGTTTGGTATCTGTCGTATATGCATGTTTTGCTCTTAGCCCGCGCGGAATCCCTGACATGTTAAGTGAGTCCTCAGTATGTTTTCTATTCACCTATAACGTAATTCAATGAGCCTCATTCAACTTTGACCGTTGTCCTGATGCGAATTATGTATACGTTATCTTGCATGCTACGTCTTTTTCGCCGCACACTCTGTGGCTCGGGATTAACTATATGTACACACCCCAGAAACACGGTTGCTTGCGACAGGCATGACTGCAGGATCAGTTAACTTACAAAAATAGTTGTGATGCAGAAAATGCCATGACTGGGACTAGCATTGCAAGACCATCGGCTGTTAGTTTTGAAATTATCAAGTACTGGAATGGATTAAGACGATAACGGAATACCAACAGATGCGCCATGACGAACAGCAGCGAACAGGCCGAATATGCCGACTGAGCATTCAATTTTGACAATGATTGCTTAGAAGAGATTTTGTAGTAGGACATGGAAATTTCCTTTGAATATTGATGTTCAGTTAACGTACTAGGATCATTGAAATCCCGCTCGCAATAGAGCCCATTGAAACATTCGCTATGTGAGAATGCACATGCGATTGTCAATGTATCTGAATCAATAATCATTACTTTGCTTAGGTAGCTATATTATCGTACAGTTTCACACAGGTGACGAGGCTCTATACTTCTTCGTAATCTAGCACTATGCTCCACTTCGAACCAAGTTGCAAATAACGACAAAATTGGGCGCAAGACCATAGCCATGCCTAAGCAGTGATTTAAGGCATCCCTTTCTCCTATGACGGTACTTCTGTTGCAGAATCAGATGCAGAAGCGCATCATAATGAGAGTGAACGTCCCGTGCAAGCACGTGACTCAATTGATTCTCCTCCCGATAGACCGCCATAGCAAATGTTGGTCTCCAAATATCCGTTAAATACTGGCACCAAGGTAACATGACTCGATATACTCTGTCAGACAAAGACCGTGTCCTCTCGCTTCGCGAGATAATCGAGTGCACAATGAATTGTCATGGAATTTCCAAGCGTAACGGAGATCATGCCTCGATGGCGGAGGCACCAGAGCCCAACCGCAGTGCTCCGATCCAGTTGTTTACTTATTGTCTTGTGTCTATACGATCCACTCTTCTCTATCGGCAGGCTACATCCGACCCTCAAACCTATGTAGTAGGATCCGGCTACCTACGCTTGATACTATTTTCACCTTGAGACTCCCGCCTAGTCTCATCAACCTTTCCATCACGTCGGGAAAAGCAAATAAATACCAGGCTTATCTGGAAGGGTAGAAACACGGACTTATACAGTGCCTGACCCTGCAAGCCATTGTATAGGCCATACCACTACTTTGTGGATGTAAATGGACTGCTTCGTGCATTCCAGTGATACATCCACTGCAAAAATCGTTTTCAATTCTCCGTCAAAATTAATAACTCAAAATCTGGAGTGTTGGAGAACATCAAGACCTCATGGCGACTGCTTGACTGCAGATCCGCATTCCAATCACCAGCATCCTTGTCAGCTGACCATTAACACCCAGACATACCTATGAAAACGTTTGGGTACACTTTACACTCCCTGTGGTTCAGCAGAAAAATCCGCTTTACAGCTGTCTTAAGTTTTCAGGAGTGACCGTTCCCACGTATGAGCAGAACTCCCTAATACTGTGGAAGGTGCGACAGCGAATACATTCCTGTCCGCGAATGCAGAACTCATAGTGATCGTAGGGGCAGCTTCAAGAAAGGTACGCTGTCTACCTACAAAACGCCCAATCTTCATAGCCTGTGTTCTAATAATGAGAACAGTCGTCGGGGCTGATGTAGTTGGTGGGCAATGACGAGGCGCTGCTAAGCCATAGGGGCGCAGTAAAACAGAGCCAGCGAATCTCAGGTTGCGTTCATACTTTGCGGCAGCGTCCACCAGCGTCCGCCACCGACCATCAGGGTTTCGAGAGACTAGGAAATCATGGGCTGAGTACGGTATTGTAGTGCTATAGTGCAGTTGCACACGTCACAATTCACGACACCTTATCCAGCCGTCTGCTCTCTCCTAACTTCCCAATTTACCAGCAGTGGACGCTGCCTCAAAGTATGAAAGCAGCCTTCGGGAAGCGATGGAACGGAAGTGAAGTGTTCCAGCACGCCTTTGCCCATCCAGCTACTGTTCCCAGTTCAAGGAAAGAGGGCTGAAAGAAGTGGAATAACAGGAGTGAGCCGAGCTGGGTTTTTCGATGCTCTCTACGTCCGCATTTACAACCCATTTACCCTTGACCACAGCGTATCCAGGAAAGGTTCTGTCCTGAAATTTCAGCGTCTCAAAGGTTAGTCCCCGTTCGTGCCGGGTTTCCTAGTTCAAAGGCTAGGAGCGCCATTCTTCCGCACAATTTTTCTCTCTGCATCCCTTGACTGATCAGTTATCTGGTCGAATTCATCGGTTACACGATACATACCGTCACCGGCAGACATAGGACCTAAATACTCTGTCTACGTCTTCCCTGCCAGGTGGTTCGGCGTCTGGAAGCTACAGCTAGCCTCTCCTGGCACTGCGTTCCTGAGAGATGAAACCAACGGATTCGACGGCGGCTACCTGCCCTTCCGAAGGATCTGACCTCGCCAAGCGTAAGAGCGTGTCGGTTTGTTTTGGAGGGGACATGTAGGTGAGGGACGAGCTCGGAAGGTATGGCACCATTAGCGTCAACAGGACATCATCCATTTCGCTAATGAGCACTCTCAGTTACACAACAGGGGACATCAGTACACAGCAGATTATGCACTTTTTTCATTTCGCTGAATGGGAGCGGTGCATTCTTGGTTGAACTCCAGAGTAATGTCAGACAGCCAGATTTCACCCCTGGTAGAGATTGACCTTTGCTGACGGTAAGCAGAAGCTCCCTCAATCAGCATGCAACATATGAAGTATGTAGCTGACCGCGCCGATCTAATCGGCACCTATGTTTGCTGATACACATTGCCGTATTTATTGCTAGGCACAGGATTAGATTGAATGCAGTTGAATTATTAGTGCCTATACCAAATAAGGTTGTTAAGCTGAACCTAACAGGTCTCACGGTTCGACCTTCCGGCCTTCGTCAGAGGTCTGAAAATGGCGTTAAACTTCTCAGCTTCAGGAATAGGGGCAGAAGTGAATAAAGTTCGTCCCTGCGACGAGTTTTCTGCAAGGATCGACTGGGCGACTAAATGAATCAATTGATTTTATTTGGACTAACAAACTATATCAAATTTTCAGTCAGCTCAATTCTGCTGACTTTTTAACATCTTTGGATCAATTTTTCAAAATCTGAGGATTCCATGCCGGCGGAGTCGTTCGATTATGGCCATAGTGGTCGGGTGTAAGCCAAAGCTGGGCGCTATAACCTTGGGAGTGGCAATTGAAGGACTCCTTGTGTTGAATACAGATCGTCGCTATGGAAATCTTATTCCTCAGGGCTC